AGCAGAGCAAGCAGTGAGCCTTTAGCACAGCCAATGTGGCCCCAAAACTAAACAGAAAAAGAGAGAGAGAGAAAGAGAGAGAGAGAGAGAGAGGAGGGAGTGGGGGAAGGGAGGGAGAAGGTGGGGCAAGGGAGAGCAAGGGAGGGGGAGGGAGGACAGTAGGCAAGGCACTCTACCTTCCTGCAGTTCCATTTTAACCCACAAAAAAATAGGAAACAGCAGCAACTTTGCTGGATTGGGGGCAGAATTATAAAGCATGAAAAATAAAAGAGTGTGCTAGCCAGTGAGGTCCTGCGAATTTTTATCACAAGAACTCCTCTTAAGAAATGAGGTCAACTTGGGAAGAATAGGAGTGGACACAGCCACTTCTCCCTGAAGGCTGCACAGGGATGCAAAGATTAGGGCCAGTCCCCTGAGAATGGAAATCCAAGGTGCTAAAGATGGGTTCAAAAAAAAAAAAAAAAGATGGGCTCTCTGACCTGAAACTGAAATCTGCAGTTCAAATCTTCACCACAGTCCTCTTTCTAAAGAGCTCCTCTGGATCCCACAGAAGCTAAGATGAGCAGCAACTTTGCATGTTTGGAATGTATTTCAAAAATGCAATGAATATGTAAACATGTATATGTTGTAAACTATTAAATCACGCAAGTAATTATTTGTTTAGATCCTCAGTTTTTCAAAAACAGCCACAACAAAGTTTCCACACCATGAACACTCTCCTCATGATGGAACCTAACACTCAGCCAGGGAGCGAGTGATGCCATCTATGTCTCCTGTCCTTGAACAAATGTCGCTGTCTTGACCAGAAGAAAATAGTGGATGTGATACAATTGACTTTACCAGCTAATTCATATAAACACCATCATCTCCCACTTTTCCTTGGAATCCAGCTGCCATGCTCTGGAAGTTCAAATGGAAGCACATGCAAAGGAAACTTCTAAGTATTCTGGTTGACAAGTCACCTGAGATTCAGTCAAGAGCTGGCGTCAACCACAGAAAGGAAGTGATGTTGTCTTCAGGTGGCTTCCATACCCAGCTGTTAAATCACTATCTTCAACCTCTGCATCTGAGGGGCTAGACATGACAGAACAGAGAAAAGCTATCCCCACCATACTCTGTCCAAACTCCTGACTCAAAGAATCCATGAGCAAAAATACAAGATGGTTATTCTTCACCAGTAAGTTTCAGGGTGATTTGAAATACGGTAATATTGGGACAGAAAGTATCTCAAAATTCAGAAAGATGTTTAAATATGTGTGTATGTATAATTTTTCTTCTCCACTATTCATCTGCCAATATTCATGCTTACATTCCTCCTCAATGGAAGCAAACCATCTAGGAGAAATGTCTATAATTATTTCTGAGTTAGAAACCCTGGCTTTATCCACATCAGTTTTAGAAAAAGAACCAGATTCCTTGTTTTAAAGAAAAACTTAAGCAGTTATCAGCCATACAAAATGTAGCAAGTTAGGAGCTAGAGACATATAACAAGGGTTAAGGCAATTTTCCTTACACAGAGCTGACCCTGGCTCAATCCACAGCACTGAACATGGTTTCCTGAGCACCAGAAGGAATGATGGTCCCTGAGCAGAATACCAGGAGTAAGCCCTGATTACCACCAGGTGAGGCCCAGCCCATTCCTCTAGATACAAAGGTATTTCCTCAGTAAAGCAAACGAGAAATAAAATCCCCATTAGCAAATCTTATTTTAATTGGCTTTTAAAAGACGAAATTGAGACCTTCATTGACAATAAGAGCACCCAAGTCACTTCTCTCTCGCTGCTGCTGAAGACTCGAAAATCTACAAACAGGGTTTTCAGATTAAATAGGAAATGTCCATAAAGTCTACTTAGCACAGTAACTGGAATTAAAGCCAGAATTTAACTCAAGTTCCAATGATTATTTTTACTGAAGTTTAGTTGTTAGAATTAGCTTCTTGGTCCAACTCTAACCCTTCCTGACCTCAGTTAAACCACATGCATGCACCATCTCAGCAGAAAACAATGGACTCCTAGTTTGATTTGATTTCCAGAGCTCATATTCCATAGGATTACAAACACTAAACAACATTGTCTCCACTTTGGTTTGGGGTTGGTAGGGGGAAAAAAAAAAAGGATATTCATTTAAAAAAAATCAATATGTTAAAAAAAGTAACTTTTGAGAGGTTACATTTAATGGTAACCATTACAAGCCTTTTGAGGTGAATAAGTAAAAATGTTACCTTTGATCATATGAAGGGGTGCCTACATGGTTATATAAATATTACAAAGCTGAGTCCTCCCTGGAAACAGAAATACCAGGAAAGGAGTTGAGAGAATAAAGCCAGGTCACCTCAGTTTTTCTTTCTTTTCCTTTTTTAAACCCTTCTATACCCTCGGCTGTGTTTCAATAAGAGGATCACTCTGGACTCTAAGTCACAGTGTCTCTCAAATAAGGCTAGGTCCAGATTTTGTATCACATTTAGCAGAGAAACAGTCAAGATTCCAGGGTAAAAGTCAGTGATATGTTTAACTTTGGCTGAATAAAAACCCCTGCCAGCAAAATAATCATTTGCAGATTAATATCTTTTAAAATGATCCCTTGAAACTTGTGCTTTGCTGCAAAGTTTTATTGTTCATACAGAATGAAATTATCAATATCCAATAGAAGAAAAGGTGATTTTCAACAGAAGTACAATGAAACATGGCAACCCCAACCCCACCATCTTAAAACCGCTGGCTTTGTACTGTTCAGTTTCTGGGAGTTCCTAGGGTGGGGACCTTCTCATACCCTAAATTTATTTAAGGGGTTGAAGATGAAGTGATAATAGGAAATGTAAAAAGATGAAGAGAGAATAGGAAAGGTAAAAAGAGAAAAACCTAAGTGAAGAGAGAAAAACGGCTGCACTGTGAAGTTAAATATAAGTGGGTGGCAACTGAACCAAAATGCATTTGCTAGAAACACCATTTCAGAATGACATTCCAGGGGCCAGGGTGAGGATGGTGTTTACCTTGCATATAGTCAACCCAAGTCCAATCTCTGGCACCCCATATGGTTCCCTGAGCACCACTAGAAGTGTTCCCTGAGCACAGAGGCAGAAATAACCCCTGAGCTCCTTTGGGTGTGGCCCAACAACACCCCCCCCACACACACCACCACCACCAAAATGACATTCCAGGTATCATGTTGGCTGATTATCTCTTAGATCTTGGGAAGCAGTAGGAACTCTACCATGGCTTGCAGAGCCCCAACAGGCACGAAAAAAAAAAAAATAGCTGGAATATAATTGACTTGGAAAGGCCCTTTTCAAAGGTACATACCACCACTCACTTGGAAAAAATATATATAGGAAAGATTAAAAGGGGCCTAATGAAAATTCTTTTCTAAAGAATTGATAAATAACTTCAATGAGGCAGGTCTGACTGCCCTTGGAGAGGTCCAGCTTCCCCACCTGGCCCAGTTCCCTTCCCGATGTCAGTCCCCACAGCCAGACATCTGGGACTCGGAGCTAGAGTTTTAGCAGCTCAACTGAGCACCAGGACAGACTCATATTACCATATATGTTGAAGTCTGTTGAGTCGTCTGCTAAGACATGGGGCCGGGGAGATCATACAGAGGAAAAGGTGCTAGGACTGCATATGATTCGATCCCCAGCAATGCATAGGGTTCCCCAAACACCACCAGGAACGTTCCCTAAGCAGGGTTTTCCCAGAAGAAAACCCTGGAAAAAAGGAGGTCTGCTAAGACCCGAATCAAAACCTTTCACCATGAAACACCAGTCCAGAAAATCAAGGGTGTTGCCTTTTGAAACGGATAGCACCTTTAAATATCTTTTAGCAACCCTACCAAAATGCCCTGCTTCTGCACTCCTTAACACCTTGTTAGAGCTTTGTTCAACTTAAATCCAAACCCCGACTGCGTGTCTGCTTTTTCTCCAACCACTTAGACAGCTGTCTTCTCAGGGACAGTACTAGCCCAACCACTGGGACAGAAAATGGTTTTACAAGTATTCTCTTCCTTTATCTTCCAACTATTCCCTCTTTCATCAGGCAGTTGCACACCGGTGTCCCGCCTGTTTTCAACAGACAATTCTCCTGAGATGAGTTCTCCACGAAATCAAGAAACGCCAAGGGCAAAGATGGGAGTTCTGGCTTGAAGGATGGACTCGCTGGGAAGACCGTACCGCGATGCGCAGAGAGAGCACCAGAGACGCAGGCAGCGCACGCAGACCAAGCCTTTTCTTCCAGCTGCAAGTCCAAGAGGAGATCCGTTTTCCCCAGGAGTGGGCCTTGGAAGTACAGAGGTCCCCAAACTCATTTGGCCCACCGCCCCCTTTTCAGAAATTTGCCCAGCGGCCCCACACCAAATTCTACAATCCTTAGGGGCACAAATAGATCTCTGCACCCCCAATAACAGTACCTGACCCTAATACTGCCCTCCCGGCAATCTCGATCTTTCCAGTGTGCCCCCAATTGCCTACTTAGGGGGTGGGGGACACTGGCCAAGTGGCCAACACTTTTGTCCTATTACAAGTCTCGCACCTGGTACGGAAAGGTGGGCACCGAGTTTTCTCCCCGTCCACCTGTTCTCTAGGAAGAACATACGGAGAACTGGGAGTTGGCCAACCATCGCCCCTTCGTGCTCCCGATCAGCCAGAGAGTGTACAGGTGGCCACCTGCGCAGGTGGCCAATCTTCCAGGACAACTTGACTCCTGGCCTTACTGAATTGGCTGGGAGTGGCTGTCCCCAACACCCCCTCTCCCCCGCCCCTCTCCAGCAGGCAGTTACGGGCAGCGCCAGGAGGCACAGGTAGCCCGGCTCAGAGCGCGCCTCGACCGCGCGCTCCTCGGAGAGGCAGAAACAGGGGCGCCCCCGAGCTCCTCCGAGGGGCCAGGGGCGCCCTCGGCCGCCACCCCCGGGCGCTCCCGGTCCGGCCCCGTCCGCCCGGCGCCCAGCCCGGGGACCCCTGGACCGCCAGTGCCGCAGCGCCCACTCGGGGCAAGCAAGCGGCGCGCACTCACCATTCTTCTCCTGCATGCTCGACAGCGACCAGAGCAGCAGCGCCACCAGGGCCAGGAAGCAGAGCTGGCTCAGCAGCAGGTCCCTCCGGCGGCCCCGGCGCCGCTCGCGCACCACCTCCTCGCGGCTCCGCATCCTCGGCGGCGGCCGCCCGCTGCCCACGGCCGGCCCCGCTCGCAGTCGCCGCGCGCGCCCGCCGCGCGCCCGCCCGGGGCCGCGGGGCTCCCCGGCGTCGCGCTCGCCGCCGTCCCCGCGGTCCCCGCCCTCCGCCGCCTCCCTCGCCTTCTTCTTCTTCCTCTGCCTCTCCCCCTCGTCGTCGTCGTCGTCGTCCCCGTCGCCGCCGTCCCGCTCGGCCGCCTCCCGGCGCTCGGGCTCGCGCTCCTGCTCGCTCGCCATGGCTCCCACGCTCGCTGGGCGCCGCGCTCGGCCTGGGCGGCGGCGCGGCGGGGGCGGCGGGGGCTGCCGGGAGGCGGGGGCGGCGGCTGGAGGAGGAGCGGCGAGGAGGACCGGCGGGAGGAGGGCCTGGCGGCTGCAGGGGCGTCGCGGGGCCGCCCGCCTACTCCCCGCTCCGCGTGCGGGGCAGCCGGGGCGCCGGGGGCCGGGGGCTCCGGGGCTCAGTGCCGGGGAATGGGGGGGGGGCGAGGGCCGGGCACTCAGGGGTCGGGGACCCCGGGAGCGGGGGTGGGGCGGGAGCCGGGGGGGCGGGGGCCGCGGAGCCGGGGGCCCGGGGGTCTGCGTGCCGGGGCCGCCGAGCCGCGTGCAGGGCCGGGGCGGGGCGCGGCGGGCACCTGGAGCGAGGCGGGGGCGCGGGCAGCCTGCAGCGGCGCGGCGACGGCGTGGGCACTGGCGGGGGGCAGCGCGGGGGACGCGGCCGGGCGCTGGCCAGCACGGCGGCGCTGGGGCGCGTGGGGAGGAGACTGAGCTGGGGAGGGAGCCCCGCGCGCAACCGTTCGAGCGCTCCGTGCCGGGGGCTGGGGGCGGGCAGCTGCTCAGGAGGTCCCCGCCACGCTCTCGAGAAACGCACGGCGCCGCCGACCGGCGGATCTCCAGGAAAAGGGATTCACCCGAGAAACTTTCCGAACCCACGGAGGGTCCCGTCCGCCCGCTTCCCGGCCTCTGCCCGGAGACTCGGAGCCACGGGTGCGCTGGGCTGCCCCGCGCGCGCCGCGGCTCCTGCCGGCCTCCTCCCCGGGGACCGCCTGGGTTTCCTTCGCCCCCTTGTGGGGATCCCCTGGTGCGCTAGTCCTAGGACCTGAAGCAGGACTCCCCAAAGGCTCGCCGGGGTGCCTGGGCTCCCCCCTCTGGCTGGGCTCACACTTCACTCCCGGATCGTGCTGGAAGGCACTGTTGCTGGGCTAAGCTGGCTGCGAGCGAGATCCTCCTGGCCACCCTGGCTCTTCTACAGGAAGCACCAGGCCATGCTGACGCTTGAGGTCACTGTCCCTCGTCTACCGTGCCCCTGCAGCTGTCCTCATCCAATTCGAGCGTTGCCTGTCCGAGTGGTTGTCTATTAAAAACCTCGAGTCCTCCAGCACCCGCTCTCCCGGGCCTTCCCCCGTGATACTTCCCTGGGGCTGCAGCGAGGAAAGTGGACAAAGCCTGGAACAAGATCGGCTTTTTGTGATGAGGCTGAATACAAAGGGTGTATTGGGGAAAGACCCAGGCGTCAACCTGCTATCAGTATGGATGACAGGGCATGAATCCTATTTGGGGGAATTTAGCTTGCAGCCCTCAAAGGAGGTAAGAAAGGATAGGTGACTCCCCCCCCCCCCACACACACACACACGTCTCAGCACTTGATCTAGAAGGAGCCATATTGCCCAAGTGTGCCCCCACTTGTGGAAGAACTCTGACCCCTCAGACACCCAGATGATCCCACACTGCCTCTGAGGACAGCAGGGCAGGACAACGAAGCTGTTCAGCATCCAGGGAGACTTGAGAGTTAATTTTGGCCAACTAGACTGGAAGAGAATAGCTTTTCTAAAAAGCCTGCAGTGTTCCCTCTGCGTTGGTTCCCAGAGCTATTAAAAATATGTTGCTATTGGGGCTGGAGGGTTGTACAGCAGGTAACCTTGGACAAGGCAGGCCTGGCTTTGATACCCCGCACCACATAACCGCCTGATCACCACCAGGACTAATCCCTGAGCACAGAGCATGGAGGAAGCCTACACACAGCTAGACATGGCCCAACCCCTCAACGTATTAGAGTTCCAGAAACGATTCCAGACTACTTCATTCTACTCACCAGGAAAGAGGCTCCAATGACCTTTTCTGGAGTGAGACGGTGTCAGACTCACTGGCTGCAGAATGAAACAGCTCAGGGACAAAGGATGGTGTGATCCAGGTTTTATACACAGAAATGATTTTTCAGTCGAATCGCCATAGAACTGGGAAGGGGATTGCAAATCAATGCAGAGACTAAGACCTCCAAGCACCAAGCAACTGACTATCCTCGGGAAAGGGCACTGGTCCTCAGGCTTTCAGTAGCTTGGACATGGGGGTTCTTCATCAAGCACATCAGTGGTTCCCTAACAGGAAGGAAAGGGAGGTCCCTCTTCTCCCTCTTCTCTTCTCCTTCCAAAAAACAACCCTGGAGAAGGAAGTGAAGGCACAGTGCTCAGAGTCACTCCTGCCAGGCTGGAGTCATGTCAGTATCAAACCTGATCTTCCTGTGTGCAAGACATTCACATGAGCCCTTGGCACCATCTCCCCTTTCCCAGAAGCTTCTTTTTGTTCTATCTGCCATCTTGCAGTCTCCACCAGCTTCTCTCAGGAAATGGAATTTTGGTAAATGCAGTACTTACGTGCTATTTATCTTTCACTATAAGGATCCTCATCAATCCTGAGGTAACATTTGCCTTTCATGTCTTAATCTGTTTGCTTTTGATCTCACAGTTTATGACCTGAGTCTTAGGGAGAAAAATCCCAGGCCCTGCCACTTTAGTCTACAAATTAGCTTGCTTGGAAAGAGAGGCATTCACGCAAGTATGTGGGGGCCTTCATTCCTGTCAGGTATAAGACAGACATATTTACACAGCACCTCCCTAGCCTGGCTCAGGCACAAAGGTTCATAGTCCACACCCGCCCCAAATCCCCTCTCTGCCCTCACTTTCCACTCCTGTCAACATTCAGTTCCCTGTAAAGATTTTTGGGCCTGATGTGGAGCCATAAAGACTTGGTTCATTTTTTTTTCACATCTCAGCCTATATAGCAAAGAATAGAATACCTCCCACAGCTGCGTTTGCTGATTCTCAGCTCAGTTCAGGTCTGCTGTCAGCCAATGAGTGGGGCCTTATCATCCAGAAACCCAGAGTTTCCTGTGCCCTCCTGTCTTCCTTCCAGGTTTCTAGCTTCCCCAGGCCCACAGCGCCCACACCCAACCATGCAGTTTCCACAACAAAGCCTGGTTGTGTCTCCATAACACCAAACAATGACAGTGGTATCAGATAAGCCAGGAGTGAAGATGAAGGGAGCAAAGGAGAAACATCTAAGAAGACAACATCCATTGTTGAGAAGGCAAATCAGCCACCATGACTGCTACATGACCCTGGAACCTGGGACCCAGGGAGAGAGAGGAAAAACTGAGAGAGTCCAGAGAAAATTCCTAACCAGCAAGGTGAGGCGTGGGCCCACGGAGCACTCCAGGGAACGGCTCTTTCCTTGCATGTTCCTAGAACAATGCTGCAGATGGGGCACTCTGGAGTGCCCAGAGATGGAAGTATCCATACCTCTAGCTGCTTGTGTTTTGCATGCTATGACAGGGCCCAAGCTGACCAATCGCCCTCACCTTCACATGTCCCACCCTGTTTATACAAAGAGGCTCAGATTTGCACAGAGCCCCAGCTTCTGCTTCTTTCCCCCCTCATCCTTGTCTGCTGCTTTTATCATCAGCCAGTCCTTCGACTTTTCCTGAGCTGCCAGTAATTTGAAAAATGGGAATCAAACATTGCTATGCATGTGTGTTTGCATACCACATCCCAAGACACCCTGAGCATCCTCGCTGCAAGCTGGTGTTCACATCATTTTAAGGTTTGTTTACAACAGGAGTACAAGAACTACTTCATAATGGCATCGAACTTTTCATTTTCTCTTGCTCAACTGTCTGCATTTGCTTGGTGATTTTTAATTCACTATGAGAAACTGTACAATTCTTTTCCTCAGTGGTGTACTGTAATATTTATACATTAAAAAGCTGCTCGTGATTTTATTTTGCTTTTAGGTGTAACATAGGCCCTCCCGTTGATCGTCGATTTGCTCGAGCGGGCCCAGTAACGTCTTCATTGGAGACTTTGTTGTTACTGTGTTTGGCATATTGAATACGTCACGGGGAGCTTGCCAGGCTCTGCCGTGCGGGCAGGATACTCTCGGTAGCTTGCCGGGCTCTCCGAGAGGGGCGGAGGAATCGAACTCGGGTCGGCCATGTTGGCTGCGTGCAAGGCAGACGCCCTACCCGCTGTGCTATCGCTCCAGCTCCAGGTGTAACATGCGTTCAGTAAAATGCACTGAGAGTCCTCCCTAGTTGAATCACTTTGTGTTTGTATATTCATTAACCTTAACTGAGTTAAGGTTAAGCTTAAAAGATTTCCTAGGGCTATAGTGGATAAGGGCACTTGCCTTGTAGGTTCATTCTATCCCCAGCACCATACATGGTTCCTCAAGTCCCAACAGATTGATCCTTGATTTCAGAGCCTATGGTAAACCCTGAGCATTGCTGGTATGAGACAAAGACAAGGAAAAAAAAATTTGAAAAAACTTCCTGCCCATCCTCATGCCCTTAAGCACTCATATGCCAAGCCCCATCTCCCACCAGTCATCCATCTTCCTGTCTCCCTCTGTAGATCATGCCTTGTTGCCTATCCTTGAACATCAGGTCTCCTGTGTTCAGTTTTGTTTCTGTAAGATTCATCTCCCTTGCCCTATGGAGCTGCAATTGTTCCCTTCAGCGTTGTGTAGGTGTAGCTTAGCTTTCTTTTTACCTGATGCTTCAGTTCCCTTCCAAGTTTAGTGTAAGCCAAGAATAACTAAACCACTACCTCTGGATCAGAGACAACTGACGTTCCAGATTGGGGTGTTTTATATGAAAGTTCAGCTAAAATTGAAATAGTCATCACTGCTTCTCAGACCGGCTGCACCATGTCAGAAGGGACCCACGGGGAGCTGCAGTACAACAGGTCAACTGGCAAGCTTGGAGGGTCAAGCTTTGAAAGACAAGCCTAGAAGAATTCCTCAGAGCTGTATAAATTTGGAGTCAGTCTCTAATGGAAAACCTTCGGTACAACCCACTTCCTGTGAGCTCTCTTCTTCTCCAGTCCTTTTCCTGCTGACTGAGAGGCAAGTGAAATAAGAAAGAGTCTCACGTCAGCCCTGGCAGAGCCTTGGACATCAAACAAGGGTGCCATAAAAAAATACCAGGGAAGCTGTTAGAAATATCAGTTCCCAACTCTGTCTTGAGACGACAGAATTTCCGAGGCCTAGAAGCTTATTTTATTCACCAGCTCTGAGAGATCTCACTGTGTTAAGATCCCACTGTGTTTGAGATC